GCTTCTCATGTTTTTATCTAAAGCATTCCTAATAAAACTCCCCTTAGATCTAACTAACTCCCCTAATTTAACCTTATCTATTTACCTTCCTAATCGAACCATATTTAACCTTATCCTATTTATATTTCTAAACTAACAAACCAATTGATAAATATCATGCACATGCACAAACAAAACTCTTGCCCACCTATCCTTGCGCACCTCCTCTTCTGGAGTTAAAAAACTCAAAAACACTAATAATAATAACAATTAATTAATTTTTTCTCTACATCAAATTCTTTGGAGAGAGTTTACTGGCATTCAAGGAGATGGGGAGAGGTATAAAAGAAAGAGAAAAAAGGGTTTAAAATAATAATTTTAAATTCGTTTTGGGAAGAGAGGGAGGAGGAAGTTGAAGAAAGCTAATAATAAATTTAAATTTATTTTGGGAGGAGAGAGAGAAGGAGGTTGAAGAAACCACGAGCCATGGACGAGAACCCATTCCAGTGGGCTCCTCTAGACTGGCAGATTTTTATGCCACAGGAGGAGGGAGAAAGAATTAAAGAGAATAGATTTAGAGAGGTAGCGAGTAGTTCTTAAAGAGAGAGAAAGAGAGAGCAGTAGAGAGAGAAAGTGGCTTTGAGTAGAAAGAGAAAGACTTCGGTAGGAAGAGAGCTTGGGCATAGAGAGAGAGAGAGGAACACGGTATAAAAACAAAAAGCAATCCATGAAAACAAAAAAGAAGAAACAAATACAAAAGAAGGAGACAACCAACCATAATGCAAAGATATACGTGGTTCGGTAATGTGCCTACGTCCACGAGAGATGAGTGCTTCTTTACTGGTAATGGAGAATAGGGTTACAATAGCTCTCTTCCTCACACCTCTATGTTCTCTCTGATTACAAAGAAATCTCCATTTTCCCCTTAACCCTAAAAAAGAACCCCCATCACTATAATATATAGAGTCTTGTACAAATTACTAAAATACCCATGTACGAATATATATCGAGTCCCAAATAGATGGTACAAATAATCGAAATACCCTTGTACGCTTCTAGAGTTGTCCTTTTGACTCCACTTTGGCATATCTATTTCCTCATAATACAAGACATCAGTCTTCAACAATCTCCACCTTGGCTTGAATTTTGTTGAGCCACCCTGAAGATAACCTGAAGATGTCTTAATCCCCGTACCTCCATAAAGGTATGCGGCTGCACCCCCACCTGCCATGAGGTGCTTCCCTCACACTCAATAATGAGTGACATTAACCAAGTCCAAGCAAAGCTTGAACTTCTCTGTAGTGACCGGCTCTGTAAGTATATCTGTAGGGTTGTCATTCGTATGAATTTTCTTCAGGTGGATAATTCTTTCTGACACTAGCTCTCTGATCTTGTGATATCTCACATCAATGTGTTTTGTCCTTGTATGAAACACTTGATTCTTTACAAGATTTATAGAACTCTGACTATCACAATGTAGCACAACACCTTCTTTCTCTACCCCCAACTCACGAGCCAAACAAGTCGACCAGATCACCTCCTTTGCAGCCTCAACTGCTACCACGTACGATGCCTCTATCGTAGATAAGGTAATTGTTGGTTGAAGCATGACCTTCCATGAAATAGATCCACCTGCTAGAGTGAAAACATACCTTATAGTAGACCTCTACTTGTTTAAATCACCAGCATAGTCGGAATCGACATATCCCACGAATTCTGTAGATCTTCTCTTCCTGTTGAATATAATTTTGAGATCTGATGTCCCGCTCAGATATTTGAAAATCCACTTAATAGCATTCTAATGCTTCCTGCCAGGATTACTCATGTATCGACTAAATCACTTGATAACATGAGACAAATCTGGTTTACTGCAAACTATGGCACACATGAGGCGTCCGACTGCGCTAACATAGGGCACTAGAGACATCTGTTCTATCTCCTCATCTGTAGTGAGACACTGCTGTCCAGATAACTTTAAATGACTCACCAATGGAGTGCTAACTGACTTAGCCATTTTCATGTTGAAACGCTCTAGTACATTTTCAACATATATTTTCTGAGTTATCCAGAGTTTACATGCACTTCTATCTCTATGAATCTCCATACCAAGGATCCTATTAGCAACCCCTAGATCCTTCATATCAAACTCAGAACTTAATATAGACTTGAGAGAGGTTATGTCATATGCATTATTGGCAGCGATAAACATGACATCAATATAAAGCATCAAGAGAATAAGGGAATTATCATCAATAACTTTAAAATAAAAACAACAATTATTCACACTTCTTTAATAGCCAATCCACACCATGAAAGAGTCGAAGCGCTTATACCATTGCTTGGGAGATTGCTTAAAACCATAAACCGATCACTTGAGCAAGCAAACTTGATCTTCCTTTTCATGCACCTTGAAGCCTTGAGGTTGCTCTATGAAGATTTTTTCCTCTAGATTATCATGAAGAAACGTTGTCTTCACATCAAGCTGTTCTAGCTCCAAATTAAACATGGCTATTAGAGGAAGTTATAGCCTTATTGAAGTGTGCTTCACAACCGGAGAGAACATTTCATTGTAGTCCACTATCTCCTTCTGAGCATAGCCCTTTACTACGAGCCTCGCCTTGAATCTCTCACATTCATTTTATGTTGCTGCTTATTTCTTCCGAAAGATCCACTGGCACCCAATCACTTTCCTTCCCGTGAGCCTCTTGACAGCTCCCAAGTCTTGTTATTTTTCAACGATTCCATCTCCTCCGTCATGACTGTCATCCATTTATCACTATGTTCATCACTTAGAGCATCTTCAAAATAGTCGATTTCCTCAGTACTAGCTGTTAGAGCAAAAGCTACCATGTCCTTAAAGCTGTATCTCATAGGGGCTTTGTGAACATGCTTTTTTCTACCTTTTGTCAAACTGTAGGGTTCACCATGTGGTTGTTGCTGTTCTGATATGCTGCTAGATGATTGTACCTCTTCTGGTGTTTCAGACCCTTCTAGCTCCACCTGGACTATCGATCTTTCTCCATCACTTTCATTTACTTGCACTTTGTTATTTTACATGTTGATTAACTTCACCATGTGAGATTCATCAAACACATCATCCCTTCTAAGCACAACCTTATCTGAAGTAGGATCCCAAAGCTTGAATCCCTTCACTCACTTCTCAAAACTGAGAAAGATGCACTGCTTAGATTTGAAACGTTGCCCACTCTGCACATGGACATAGGCTGGACATCTGAAGATCTTCAGCATAGAGTAATCTACCGGCTTTCCTGTCTACACCTCATCTGGAGTTTTGCAATCAATAGTTGTAGATGGCGACTTGTTAATGATGAAAGATGCTATGTTAACTGCTTCTGCCCATAAACTTTTATTCAAGTATGCATTTAATCGCATACTGTGAGCACTTTTCAGAAGAGTTATGTTCATCCTCTCAGCCACACCATTTTGCTGAGGAGTTTCAGGTGTGGTAAAGTGATGTACAATCCCCTATTCTTTACAAAATTCTTGAAATTCTCTAGACTTATACTCCCTTCCATTATCTGATATCAAGCATTTCAGTTTCTTTCTTGTCTTCCTTTCTACCTTTACTTTCTATTGTTTAAACTTCGTTTGTGTTTCATGAAGTAGACCTAGACCTTTCTTGAGTAATCGTTAATGAAGGTAATAAAGTATTCTGCCTCACCCATGGATTTGATTGGTGAAGGCCCCCATACATCAGTGTGTATATAGTCTAGTATATCCTTACTCGTATGAATTGCAGTTTTGAATCTAATCTTGCACTGTTTACTGAAAACAAAGTACTTACAGAAATCCACTTTACAGGCTCTGACATCTTTCAGCAATTTCCTTTTATGAATATTCATCATACCTCGTTCACTAATATACCCTAAACGTACATGCCACAATTTTGTGTCATTTGTGTTGGACTCTACATCTGTGGTTACAGAAGCTCTACGTATAATTGTATTCCCTATCAACCTGTATAGGTTCCCAATCATCTGATCTTTCATGACAACCATAGATCCCTTACTAACCTTGAGGACTCCACCTGTTGTTGTATACTTGCAACCATTTGAGTCAAGGGCCCCCAAAGATATTAAGTTTTTCTTTAATTGTGGGACATGCCTCACATCTGATAAGATTCGTACTATCCCATCAAACGTCTTGATTGTGATAGATGCTATTCCAATGGTATTGCGTACCGCATCATTCCCCATTAGAACAGACCCACCACTATATGATTTGTAGGTTTCTAACTAATTTTTATTTGAGCACATATAAAAAAAACGACCAGAATCTAAAATTCAAGAATCAGTAAATTGATTCTTACCTGAAAATATAGAGAGAAGATCTCCATCATCGTTGTTAGAGCTATCAACCACGCTAACTTCATCAGATGCTTTTCCTGTTTTTATCCTTTGTGTATCCTCAATTCTTTTCGGGCAGTCTCTCTTCATATGACCTTTTCTTTTATAGTAATAGCAAATAAACTTGCCCTTCACCTTCGATTTTGACCGATTTCGGCTTCCAGACCTCATTTGATTTGATCTGCCCCTTTCATTACTCTCTTTGTGTTTTCCAAAGAAACTTTTTCCTTGAGATTTTATACTGCTTGTCTTCTTCCTTGTCTCGTTTGACATAAGAGTAGCAGTGACTTCGTCCATCTCAAGAGTCTCATTCCCGTACAGTAGAGTCGTAACCACGTGATTGTATGATCCTGGAAGCGAAGCCAACAGAAGTAGGGCCTTGTCTTCATCCTCGATTTCGACCTCAAGGCTTGCTAATTGGCTTATGATTTGGTTGAACTCGTTGAAATGTTCAAGCAGATTCGTGTCTTCTTCCATCTGAAGAAAATACAACTGCTTCTTCAAGAACAACTTGTTCGTCAAAGATTTCATCATGTAGATACTCTCAAGTTTTGCCTAAACCTCTAGAGCAGTTTCGAAGTCCACCACATAACGTAAGGCGTCGTCTGATAGATTCAGACGAATCGTACGTACCGCCTTTTCCTCAATCTCTCGCTACTCTTCATTGTATATCTTTGCTGGTTTTTTCAATTTCACTAGCAAAACCTTAGCTAGACCTTGCTGTATCAAAAGATCCTTCATCCTTCGTTGCCAAAGGGTGAAGTTGTTCTTTTCATTGAACCTCTCAATGTTATACCTGACGCTTGAGCCATTTCCTGTCATCGTGGCAGCAAACCCCAGAATGCGGAATAACCTGGTAGGCTTTGATACCAATTTTTAGAAACAAAAAACAATCCACGAAAATAAGAAAGAAAAAACAAACACAAAAGAAAGAGACAACCTTCCACAATGCAAATATATATGTTGTTCGGCAACGTGCCTACATCCACGGGAAATGAGAGCTTCTTTACTAACAATGGAGAATAGGGTTACAATAGCTCTCTTCCTCATGCCTTTCTGTTTTATTTGATTATAAAGAAATTTGTGTTTTTCCCTTAACCCAAAAAAGAACTCCCATCACTACAATATATAGTCTCATATAAATTACCAAAATACCCATGTATGGATATATATCGGGTCCCAAATAGATGGTACAAGTTATCTAAATACCTTTGTATCCTTTTAACTCCACCTTGGCAGATCTATTTCTTTAGAATACAAGACATCAATCCTCAACACACATTACTATAAAATGAGAGGAAGAGAGAGGAAAAAGGCATTATAGTCTTAAATTTTTTGACGTGTTTATTGGGAGGTAAATATAAGAAAATATAGTAATAGGGTTTATGGTGAGATAGTAAAAAGTATTGGGAGGTAGGATGTCTTCAAACTTTATTTTGGGAGGTATCTATAATTTTCCCAATTAAAAAAATATAAACGAGAAAGAGGGAGAGAGAGAGAAGTCTTTGCTACTATGAAATGGGAAAAAAAAATAAAAAAATATCAACATTATAATCAATTTAAATTGCAATAGATATCTCATTATTATAAGTTATTGATTTATTTATCATGGGACATATTTTTGTATTTTTATTTTCTCTATTTTTTCATAATAATATTTGCTTATAATTAACTAGTAAATTTACTAATATAGTTGAAGTTAAGGCTAATTAACTAAAAGAATAATATGAAAATACAAAAAAGATAAAGCAAAAAAATAAAAGACCAAAAATACAAATCATGTACTTAATAAAATATTGCTATATATATATATATATATAGATAAAAGTTAATACTTATATTGGTAATTACAAAGTATAAAAAGAAATTCCATTTTTGTTTTTCTTTTTGACATACGCTCTATCAAGGATTATATTCTCAGTCAAAGAATAAGTAAACATATCTCTTCTTGCTACTTCTATACAAATAATATAATTGACATTGTTTTAGAAAAATAACTAACTCAAAATGCAGTCATAAATAGCGCTATAATTATATTTTGAAGTTTATGTGATAGAGTTTTTTATTTTTATTTATTTTTAATGTTAGAAAATAATATTTACTTATGAGTAAATAATATATTTACTAATACTAATTTTAGAAATAATTATATCGAATAAAAACCTATATGTGAATACGGATCCATCAAACTCTCTGTCTTTTATAGACCCTTTCAATAAATGAAATTTATATCTTTTTGAATATTTTATTTTAGACTCAAAATTTTATTTTAATAATTAATAGTTAATACACGTGCATGTCGCAAGTAGAAGATAATGCGTAGGGAATGATAAGAAAAACTAGGTAGAGAACAACTCATTACACTCATGTGCATGAAGATATGTAATGTCCACTCAGTGTGGCAATTGTGAAGTTGGTGAGAGAAAGACCTCAAGGGCCATAGTAGTAGAATATCAACTGCTTGTTTAGTGGTTAGATGAGGGATGTATCACATACGGGATCGGAAATTACAAGTGAGAGAGCCCAATGGATATGATCTGGTTTTTGGAGAGAGAGCCATTGGCCTTTGATTCCTAAGTTTATTTAGCATCTATGACTTCAAGGTTTTCTCTCAAGTCATAATTTTGATCGAAGCTTAAAAAAAGATAACATTTAATAAAAGAAAAATAAAAGGGAAAATATGTATAAAATGATAAGGCAAACCTCAAAAAGTCAAGGAAACCTGTTTTATGAGTCAGCGGGCTGAGCCCATTGACTTGCAATCGTCCATCCTAAAGATGGATGTTATCTAATGTCCAAGATATGGATGCTGCATAAAAAAAAATAAAAAAAAATAAAAAAAATAAACAAAATATATTTTTAATTTTAAAGTTTTTTTTTTCGTTTTTGTTTTTGTCTTTGTTTTGTAATTTTGTTTTTTTTTTTGGTTGTTTTTGTCTTTTTTTTTTTTTCCAAATTCATAATCATCTTGATGAATCTACAAAAACAACTAGATAAAAAATTCATCTTTAAAATGGATTTTAGTGGGGGATCACATATGTAAATATGAAATTCATCTTTAAAATGGATTTTAGTGGGTGATCACATATGTAAATATGAGTCGACCAACTCACAGAAACCACATCAAAAAGTCATTGAGGTTGTTAGACAAGTTCATTTACCAATAAAATATTTATTTTGAAAAGATCATCTCACGTATGTACGTCCTACAACTATTTTGTTTGAAAATTCCAAACTTTCATTGTTCCGGGTTTGGAAACTTGCATATGCAGGGTATTTTAGTAATTTGGCCATTCATGTTGCTCAAGTCTACTGCTTTAGATGCCCTTACTTGTTCTGGGACTCAAACTCGACATATGTTTTTTCATTAAAATTTATTCTTTAAGTTAGGAACTTGGAGCTTTTGGTCACGTGATTTAAGAAAGGGCCAATGCTATTTGGAAGTGGCGAATTCCCCATAAAATTCAATTTTTTTTGGGGCTCAATCTTAGGATAAACTATTGACAATAGAAATTTGAGGAGATGAGGTAAAGTAATTGTCAATATTTGTATCTTGTTCAAAGAGACCAGTGGGGATCACCTTTTTATTCATGGTAAATTTACTTTTAGCTTATGATGTTGGGCTTTCCAACTTGTTGGGTGCTCTTTTTCTCTGATGCTTAGACATCACAACATTATTTACCTGTTATCTCTTCCCTCTTTGCCTAAGAAAGTGCAATTATTTGGAAGATCTTTAGGGCGTCTCTCTTATGGGAAGTCTGGCTTGAAAAGAACGGGAGAACATTTGAGGGGTTCGGAGACGTATATTAAACATAAAATTTTGCACAATGTTTGGTTCTAGTACTCCAAGACGAAAGATGGTTTTGGGGTGTCAAAAACACTTTTTTTTTCCTTTTTTAGCCTTCACTTTTTTATTTCTCAGCCTACAGTGAATTCTAGACCTCAGAAGGATGCCTCTTGTTCAATAGTGTATTAAATTGAATTTCGATGCGAGTTCTCTGGGTAACCCAGGCTCAATTGGTTTTGGTGGAGTCATTAGGGATTGGAGGGGAGAGGAGATTTTCTCCTTTTGGGGTACTTGCGAGGCTGCTACGGCTAATTGTGTTGAGTTGTTAGCGGTGTTGAATGGTGTTAGGCTGTTAAAGGCTTGGTGTGCCCATGTGGGATGGATGGTTGAAAGTGACTCGTTGAATGTAATTAATTGGTGCTCTAGGATAGGAAAACCTCTATGGTGTCTAAGGAAATATTTGCTTAACCAATAGATATTTGTCAGAGTCAAGTGGTTCATTTCCATCACGTTTATAGGGAGGCCAATGATAGGGGGGACTCTTCAGCAAAACTTGGGGTTAATACTGACCGTGTCTTTATTTTGCCTTTGTTATAGTCATGTTGTGATATGCCTCTCGTAATTAATAAAGTTCTTTGCTCTTGTCAAAAAAAATAAATTAAATTCAATACCATTGCTCCTTACAGGTTGCAATCCTGTAATAGGATAATGAATGAAAAAGTATGTTTTAGATTTGAGACCCAAAAGAAGCGAGGGGGTATCTAGGTCATCAAGATTAAGTTATTTAAATGGGTTAAAATTATATAGTTAGCCCAACTTGTTTTGGATTCTAAAACCCGAATGAGGGCAGTTTAGGTATTTTTCAACAAAAGTCTTGAGAAGCTACTGTTGGATTTGGTGCTATTCAAAATTACCTATATTAGAAAATATCATATTATGTGGGATTGAGAAATTATCATATTATGTCGTAGTGAGATATTCCCATATTATGTGGAATTAAGATATTTCCATATTATGTGGGATTGAGATATTTCCTTATTAAGAGAGATTGATATTGATATTTCATAAATTTCTTAAAGGAAATAGAAATCCAAAAAGATTAGGACTTTTGGATACATCTCTTTAGTTTGAGATATATGTAATATCAATAGGAAGTTTTCTATTTGGTTTGGATTCCTAACCTTATATATATGGATGAAAGTACAAGGAATTTGTGTACCCTATTTGGGTCACCATATGGGAATAGTGATTCCTTTACAGAGAGAGGGAGGTAGAGGCTCCTGTGCATAATATCTAATTTCCTCTTAGAGAAGACAGTTTCCTATATAGAGAAACAATTGATGGTACCTCTTGTAGACTTCTGAAGATTGGAAGGCTTGCTTCCTGTAGAGAAGCGGTTTCCATAGAGATTTTAGGTTGTTTCTCTTTTTAGTTAGAGAGAAAGTTAGTTTCTCGTTGCTCTCGCGTTTCTATCTGGTGTTGTCGGTAATGGGTTCTAGAAGTAAAAAGAAAGAAGAGAAAGTGGTTTAAAAGAGTTTGTTCGATTGTGTTTTTGTCGAGATTTGTTCCAAAATCTTTGATGTAATTTTCATTGATATAATGGATTTCAGTTTGCCATGCCCGTGGATGTAGCCCTCTTGGTTGAACCATGTAAATATTTGTTTTCTTATGTATGTGTTTCATATTTTATTTCTCCTACTTTATTTGCCAAAAATCAACTAAGTGGGTTTAGAGCTTGCACACAACAGCTACCTAGATGAAAGGATTCTATAAAACTAACCACTGTCGGTAAATTATTGATTTTATTTTTTCTTATCCAAAACAAAATAATAACTCGGAAGATATTGTACATTTTTGGCTCTATGTAAAACAAAAATCCTTTGTTTTCTTTGTTTTTTGTTTTTTTTTTTGGGGTAATTCATTGAGAAAGATATGCCTCTACCCGTACTTTAATCTAGAATAGAATTGCCTCTTTTTTTATTTTTTTATTTTTTTTTATTTTTTTTATTTTTTTATTATTATAAAGTGTAGTGATTGAAAACTATGGGGTGCTACAACCTCGACCCAGCCCCTTACCAGATAAAAATCCTTTGTTTGTTCATGGGAACTTGCATTGTGCTAATCGTGCGTGAGAGAGAGAGTAGAAACACTTGAAAACCTTTGTTAGGCCAAATATGGAAAAATTATGCATTACTTTTGCTGTTCTACTAAAACCGTGAAGCATGCTACATTGTTTACCTTCGCACGAAGAAAAAATGGATACATCTATCCATGATATGGAAACATTTAGTTCCCAACTTCGGGATGAAAAATAGAATGGCTATGGAGCCCCCAAATCCTACCCCATATGACAAACCAACCATCCCATAGAAAAGTAAAGAATCATTCTTAACCTCCTCTTCTTCTTCTTTCATCTGCCCTTCATCTTCATCTTTGCCGGTGGTGCACTTCTTCTCCAGAGGCTTGCCACATAGATCCAAGTTACCAACATAGCTGTTTTCCATGAATGTGGAAAATTGCCCTCCAATGGGAATTCCTCCTGACAAATTATTTTCAGCCACATTGAAATTGGAAAGAAAATTGAGGTGTAGGAGCTCTTGAGGAATTTCTCCTGCTAGTTGATTGTTTGAAAGATCCAGACTCTCAATTTGCTCTAGGCCCATTAAAGAACTTGGGATTGCACCCTCTAAATGATTGTTTGATAAATTCAATGAACTCAACCATTTGAGGTCTCCGATCTCCGGTGGTATAGGACCCGCCAATTGGTTCATAGAAAGATCAATCCCAGTAATGAGAACAAGAATTATCCCCTTATACATGTGCTCTGTTCCTTTGGTTTGAAATTCCATTTCATCCATGAGAGATATGACGTTATCAACTCCTTTAATAACGAAAAACCCCATAAAATAGTTTGCCTGGTTAGGCCCCTTACTCGCCCATGCACTAATATTATTGAAGCAATTGGGTACAGCTCCCTTGAGATTGTTGCGAGATAGGTCTAAGATTTGTAAGTTTTGTAAGCGGCATATTTCGGTTGGAATCTGTCCTACAAAATTATTTCCTTCTAATGCAATGGCAAGCATATATGAGAAACCACCAAGCCAAGCTGGGAGTTTCCCAGATAAATTGTTGTTGGCAAGGTTTAATCTCTGCAATTCAGGACTGTTCAAAAGGCTGGGTGAAATTGGTCCTGCAAATCGATTCCCATCTAGGTGTAAATACCTCAATCCCGTTAGGTTGGATTTCTCAGATAGCATTTTGCCCTGCAGTTCATTGTTTGATAGTCTCAGAAGCCTCAAACTAGTAATAGTAGTTAGGTTATGGGGAATTTCTCCCGAGAAATTATTATGGGATAAGTCTAAGACTGCAAGTTTCTCCATGTTACCAAAGGACGCAGGTATGCTCCCTTGAAGTTTATTTCCAGACACGTTCAGCAAACCTAGATTAGGGAGCACTTCTCCAATTTCTATGGGAATTTCACCATCAATGTTATTAACAGAAAAATCGATGAACACGGTACTCAGATTGCGCTTGGAAGTTGTTGGGAAGGTGCCTGAAAAGGAATTATTTCTGAGAACCAATATTATTGTGATGTTCCTCATTAACCATGTTGGGATGCTCCCAATCAAGTTGTTATGGGAGAGGTCAATTTGCTGCAACTCTTCTTGAGCCAAAAGGAAATTTGGAATGCTATTGTTCTTGATCTTACAAGATGATAGGTTCAATGATTGGAGTTGGAACGAGGGAACCCAAAGTTTGTCTTCAATTTCAATTGTAAGTTCATTGTTGCTCGAAAGATCGATAGTGGAAAGATTAGAAAGGTTAGCAAACATGGCGAAAGAGATTGATCCATTCAGACGGTTATTTGAGAGAAAAAGCTTGGTTAGATTGTAACTGCCTTCTAAGGAGAGAGGTATGGGCCCTTCGAGTTGGTTCCATGATAAATCTAGGTGAGTGAGTGAAGATAATCGGCCTATAGAATCCGGTATAGCTCCTCCAATTCTATTTTCCATGAGATTTAGTTTTTGAAGGGAAGCGATATCACCAATACTTGGAGGAATGCTGCCTTGGAGTTCATTTCTTGAGAGATCGAGCTCTTTCAAGCTTGAGAGGAGACCAATAGATGAAGGAATGCTCCCACTAAGGTGATTCAAACTCAAATACAAGTAGCTCAGGTTCTTTATTCCCATCAACTCTGCAAAGAAAAATTGTTGGTAAGAAAGATAACCCTTATGCCCACCAGATAGATTTATGCAAACAAGTTTAGTTATGATTAAAGAATGAAGTTGCACCTTCCATTGGGAAAGGACCATATAGATCGATGTAACCTAATGCCAAATACTCGAGGGATGACATGTTGCGCAGACACGGAAGAATGATCCCATCGATCTTATTATTAGTAAGATCCAGGAACTTCAAATTCCTTAATGTAGCCAATCCTTCAAAGGATGATCGAACCCCTATATCGTTCCAGCTAAGGTCCAAATGAATAAGCTCATCGAAATGGATGAACAGTGAGGTATTCAGTGACCACGGTTCAAGCCAGTACGACCGAGCCCAACTGAGAGAGAGCTTTGCCACTCTAGCAGTGCCTGCATTGCACTCCACCCCTTGAAATTGGCAACAGTTTCTCCCTAACCATGACTGAAGGGAGGAGCCATTTGGATAGTTCATGGAAGCCTTGAGCTCCATGAGAGCAGATAGTTCAGTTTCCAAACACTCTGGGAAAGAGCTTGCATGACCACCAAATCCATTCAATCCCCCAAGTACCAATACAGTAAGCAAATATGGTATCCCCATTAAAACCCTCACTACCCTTTTGGTAGCCAAAGCACAAGTAATACAACTCATGTAGAGTGCACCAGCGATGGCCAACAAAATTTAGTGCAAATAAATGGTCTCTTTCACATTTAACCATAAATATATCCAAGGCCGGCAAGACCACATAATATTACTTAAACTAATGCTTTCTCCGATAAAATATTGGAGGTGGTTGGGGCCGGCAAGAGAGAGAGAGAGAGAGCGAGAGAGTCCAAATATGCAGCTTTCAAGAGGTTTCTTCCAAATCTTCGTTCAGGCGCCCTTTTAAAGTCAAAGTCGCAAGTAAAAAATAAAAGTTGGTGATTAAGTCATAGGTTTTGGATGGGGAATGACGGTCAATGATGATTGTGATCACTTTGTATTAAAAGTAAGCGGCTTCATTATATAATTTGAATGTGGTTTGTATAAAGTTGCAACCTTTAACAATTAAATTAGGGTGCACCTCCAAATTCCATTGTTATGTAATTTTGGTATCAAAAGTTTTTAAGATGGTTTAAGAATTGATTTTCATTTCTAATTATAAAGTTTTAAACTTTAACAATGGATCAAATCAAGTAGATCTATAAACACATGAAAATATTGAAAATGGACGGTCTAGATAATGTGTTGAATGATTCACTAATTTGTGGACTCGCAATCCTTATTTCTTTTCATATTCATATATCTAGATGTCGAAGTCATCAATTAGATAGTTTTCTAACATCCAAACAATTTTTAATTATGGATTTTCAAGATGCACCTTTAATTCAACATTAAGATCGCACCCTTATATAAACTTTGTCCAACACGAAACTGATTTGAATATTGAACTTGGATTCCACCAAATACATGTGTCTTGTTGGGTCATCTTCTTTGCATTTGTATGGTAACGTTTCCTATCCAATGGATTTTCAATCCACAAGGTAGAGTGAAAAAAGTAAAAAGAAAAGTCAAAAGATAAGTGGAATAAGCTGTGATAACTTCCCCTAGTAACTATTGAAGTTGAGGAGGGTGCTAAAAGATATTGAATTTGCAAGGAGTTATGCATTTTCCAAGCCATAGAAGCCATCAAAATCTTTTGACGTGCATAGAACTTATCGTACTCTAGGTAGGGTGTGAACGAGTCGGATTCGGTCTTGGTCCTAGTTGGCCTGATGGGATAGGTCAGTTCCCTATTTAGATAAAAGAAATATATGTTGTAAGAGTGTCATTGACTTGACTTAAAGTTTAAAATTTTGTTATCGAATTTTGTAGAACATTTCAACCGATCCAATTTGACATATAATGACTAAGAATAGTTGTGACC